TTTTTGTAAATTCTTCTTTCTTTATGGCAGCTGCCGAAATGCTGTTACAAAGCTGCTTTTATAACTGTCTATCAACCTACATAAAACTCGCATCTAACTGTATATTGAAAAATAAATTTGATTTATTACGAGAAATGCCCTGCTCTGCTCTGCCAAAAAAGCTGGCCAAGCTGCTGTAGAAAGCGAGTGAAAGAGATGATGGAGATGATGGGGCAGGGCACGGGACTGGGGCAGGAAGTGAGGGCAGAGTTTTTGGCTTTTATAAGAACTTTGCATATTTGCTTCATTCAAAATGTATATAGAATATTTTTAAAGGCAGTTATTGCATTACGTTGTACATGACCCCAACGAGCTACCTCTTTGGCCATCTCTCTCCATCTGTCTCTGTCGCTCCTTATGTACGACATGCATATGCATTATTAATAGAGAGCGAAAGGCAGGAAAGGCAAAGTGGGCGGGGCACTGTAGCTTTGATCAGGCTGCGTGACTGGGCTAGGGTTGCCCAGTTCGCTATTCTTGGGAAACCTGATACAATTTTATTTCATTCATATATATATTTTTTGTTTGTTACTTAACCTTTTTTCGGCTCTTAATATTTTTGCATAATTTGCCAGGGTTGACCTGCGCCCAAGTCCCACAATCACAATCACATTCACAGTCGCATTCACAGTCACAGTCACAGTCACAGTTACAGTCTCTGCTGTTTGTTCACTCACCTGCACTCGCGCCTCTGTTAAATTAATTTTCATCGCCAGATCCTCGCGTGTAAACACATCCGGATAATGGGTCTGGGCAAATGCCGTTTCCAGCTCCTCCAGCTGTAGCCGAAACATTAAAAATTTAACATATTTTTCCTCTTAGTTTTTCCTCTGCACTCTGGCATTTGGAATAGTTTGCCTTGCTTACCTGTTGCAGTGTGAAGGTAGTGCGATTTCGTCGCTGCTTGCGCCTCACAAACGTCTCATCGTGTATGGCAGGATGATACGAGTAGCTGGTATCTGTAAGCAGCCCAACAAAGAGGCCAACAAAGAGAAAGAGGGAGAGAGAGAGAGAGAGAGAGTGAGTGAGACTTAGGTATTAGCTATCCCTAAGGTGTTTGAATTAGCTGGCATAATTGAAATAGTTGCAGCTCTCGAGCTGCAGGTGTTGGCGCCACTGCCTGAGCTTAGGCAACATAAGCGGCATTAAGCCTCTTGCAGTGTTGGATAAGTATGCAGAGCGATAGCTTATATAGGAAAAAATAGTGTTAGTTTTCTATTCTTGTTCCTATATGCATTTTTGTGAGTGTGAGTGTATGCATATCAATGTAAATTAAAAATTTATAAAATATTTTGAAATGCTCAAAAATAAAATTATTTAATTAATAGTTTAAAAAATCAACCAAATTTAAAACTTCATAGATCAAGGGAAAAATAATAATTAAAAATAAA